AAATAAACCACCCTAAACCCTAAACCCTAAACCCTAAACCCCTTTTTGAGTGTAGATATACTGAGGAGCCTTGAGGAACAGGATTCGCAAGTATTCCGATCTCAGCCGGGAGACCTTCTGGTGGGACTGGTCATATGTACTGCCATAATCTGGGGCCCATTATACTATAATTGAAATAAGGAGCCACCAAAATAATATAGATTATGCTGTAGTTGTAATAAGGAGCCCCCCAAAATAATATAGGCAATTATTAAGGCCCCTATACCAGGGCAGCCGAGCCGAGCAAGAAGAATAATCGCATGTGGGGACCCGGCTATGGATGCGAAGCAGCAGGATGCCACGATGCCGGTTGTAAGATTTTCTAGCTCGGGTTTGGGGTTTAGGGTTTAGGGTTTAGGGAGATCCTTGACATACATCCATGTAGCCTGACAAGAAGATAGATTTCGCAGGCCAACACTGTCAACCCGCACCATTAAATCATGGCCCGTCAGATGAGATGTAACTGATTGGCTCACCAAATGCTTGGCATCCTTGAAGCATATATAATCTCAAATCGAAGCCGAAAAGTCGGGAATGCTCAAAGCTGACAGCCAGAAACACAAAATGACTAAACTCCAGGCCAACACAAACACCCAAGGGACGAAAGCCCAACAGTAAGTCCAGAGCCCAAAACCCTTTCGACAATCAGTATGAACATCGCCAGCACAATCGGCTCGAACCTTGCCTAACCGTCCCGAAACCCTGAAATGAGTCAAATGCTCAACGAAGTTCCTCCGGGGCACATGGTTTTGGGCGTCTTCGGTGCTGTGGGCTTCCGTGGCAGCGAAGGCAATTCCTGCTCCTGCGTTGCTTTGGTTTCTGTATAGGGGTGGCCGTCTAGGGTGAGTCTTGGCTTTGGGATACCAGGGTCACATAGAGGATCAGGGCCTTAGCAAGTTGGTTATAAATAGGCTTACATGTATCCCAGATGCTGTTTCTCCTACTTCGAGCTCGACTTATGGCCAAAGCCCGAACAGCCCAAAGCCCTTCATCGAACCCCTTGCGCAACCCTGAACTCTAAACCCTACACTCAAAGGAACAGTTAGAAACCTAAGGCAGGGGCCTTAATGATTAGAATAGGGTTTCAGGGCCCATTATACTATAATTATGATAAGGAACCCCCAAGATAGCGTAGGTACTTACGAAGGCCCCTATACTACTTAAATTATAATAAGGAACCTCCAAAATAGTGTAGGTACTTACTAAGGCCCCTATACTACTTACCCAGCCACCGGGATCCCCCTAAGGAAGGTCATGGGTTCAGGGCTTCAGGTTCGGCGGCTTCGCTCCTGAAGCTTTAACAAATCCATTTGTTTTTTTTCAGGTTCGGCGTTTTTTTTTTTCAGGTTCGGCGGCTTCGCTCCTGAAGCTTTAACAAATCCATTTTTTTTTTTCAGGTTCGGCGGCTTCGCTCCTGAAGCTTTAACAAATCCCTGCCAGACAAACAGGCTTCCTCATTGGCGGCATCCTCGCTGGTGGTGCTTGTAGGCGATTTCTCAGCAGCTGGGACTTATGATGACTACAACTACGGTTGTGATTTCGACGACTGTTTAACCATGAGTACCATCAGCACATTATCGTTGTTGTGGTCCGATGTACAGTCTAGGCCACAGATTTAGGATGTAGTCTAGGATGTGATGGTTGCAACGGCTCTGTGGATCAAGAACTTGCTACATCTTGCTATGCGACTGATCGATGAGTTTCGGGTGGTCCTTGCGACCTGTCAGCTCCTGCGCGATTCTTGCGACGGCTAGTGCTTTCTGCGCAGTGCATGCTGCTCTTCTTGTTTGCTTGTGTGTATGTTGGGGTTTGAGGTTTAGGGAATAATTAGTAAACTTGTATCGGCCGCATTGCCTCCAAAAAGGTTCTGAGGAATATAGTACACTATGATTATCCTAAGGAGAGGCCCCAGAATAATATGTGTACTAGCTATTCCTATTACTTCTCCTGATGCTATTACCATAGATTACTGCTATGACTATGACTACGACGATGACGACATTTATAAACTATGACTATTTCTATACTATTAGTACTATTACGATAAACCAGATCAAGCATTCTGAGCCCCCTGTCAGAGGAAAGGTTTCTGGAGGATCCGGGTCCAGAAAGGACCACACCACCAAAGCAAGGCTTACAGCTTTATGTCGAGGCCTCAATACTTCGAATAGGGTTTGGGGCTATACTACACTATAACTATTGTAGGGAACACCCCCCAAAAAAAAATAGTATAGGTAATTATTTAGGCCCCTATATTGCCAGACCCTGCTTCTTCTCTCATCAGGAAGTCTTTAGAACTGAGAGAGTGAGGTATTTAGACCCGCAAGGAGCCGTGCAGGGCCGAATATCTGTCCCGGATCCAGGAGTTTCGTGGTTTTGGGCGTGGAATTCAGAGATATGTCGGGGCCCGACAGGAATACGGTTTGGCAGTATGTCTGTCATCGTAACAATATACAGGGCCTCTCGGTCCTAATCGGAAATGGTGGTTGACAATTCAGAACCTTGAAACGGGACCCTGAAGCCTAAACCGTATAGAGGATCGGGCTAGGGCCGGTTTCCACAGCCTATGGGAGCTACTGGCTTCTCGGACCGAAAGCCCGAAATTGGCGTTTAAGCTATCATGCTTCAGGTTTCTGGTCCAGGTCTTCAGGGTTTTGATGCCTCGAAGTTCGGAAAGGAATTGGGGGTCACGTAAGTCTGTGGGGCCTGCAGAACTCCCACATATCGAACAACCTTGCCTACTTGTCGTTTTCGCTTTGTACAGGGCTGTAGAATCTAGAATAGGGAGACGGGCTCAGGGCTCAAGGTCCTGTCAGCACACAGTTCAGAGTAGGGTAACGGGAAGAAGGACCCCCACGTTGCTGAGTTCCCTGGCCGAACCAGGATCATCGCACGGGATGCTCGGACTCTGCAGACTCGGAGATAGCAACGTAGTGAATGCGTCGTCCTGACACAGGAGTGCACGCACTAGGTAGCCTAACGACATCGACTCGGGCTTGCGGTATCTCGTAGTCCTCCTTGACCAGGGATATATTTGTATATATATATATATATATTTATTTATTTATTTATTTATCTATTTATATGTAGCGACATTTGTCCTGCTATCCTAAGCGAACCCAGAAAGAGAAAAGGGTGCCGAGCAGAAAAAGTTCGAGCGAGCCAGGGTATATATATATATATATGTAGAGAGATTTGTCCTGCTACCCTAAGCGAACCCAGAAAGAGAAAAGGGTGCCGAGCAGAAAAAGTTCGAGCGATCCAGGGCTTTTAGGGATCACACAGAGAGATGAGAAGAGGTACTGGGATAGGTAATATAGGGACCTTACAAATTGGAATAGAGTTTTGGGGCGCTTTATATTATAATCATAATAAGAGCCCCCCAGAATAATATAGGTAATTATTCAGGCCCCTTTTTTAAGGGTTTAGGGTTTAGTAATTTAAGGTTAGGCTTCCATCAAGAGAAGGTTCGCTGGTGTCATGTATGAGGGCGCCAAACCCCTCCTGGTCCAAATCCAGGCCCGTCTCCGCAGATTCATCGATGGGATCTGACAACACGCTGCCTGTTCTCCTGTCCGAGGGCTGGCGTGGAAGGAACCCTAAACCCTAAACCCTATAAGCCCTAAACCTTAAACCTTGGAACCCCAACCCTTAGCCCTGGAACCCCAACCCTAAACCCTAAACCCTATAAACCCCAAGCCCTAAACCCAAAGCCCTCAACCCTAAATCCTAAACCCTAAACCCTTAAGCCTAAGCACTGCCAAGAGGAGCAGAGGAGCTCAGAGTTTAGCGCTGCGTACGAGGCTTCAGCTGCCCTGTGAACTACTCCATGTGGGGATTAGGAGCCATCTTCTTCTGCTTTCCTGCACCTATATATATATATATATACATATATATATATGTATATATACAGACATATATATATATATATCATATGTGTGGAGTATTGACAAGACAACTCCATCCGCCAAACCTGCCAACACTAAGACACCCGACCACCGCACTGAACGCCCGTGCCCGGGAAGGACCCAGAAGGATGCTTTTGTTTTGGGGCTGTTTGCAGCTTCTGGGGGTTGAAGGGGCTGTTCTATAGGGGTTGGGGTTTAGTTTAGGGGCTTTTTGGGCTTCATGGTTTAGGGTTTAGGGTTTGGGCTTTACCAGTATGAGGCTTGGAGGGATGTGGGAGGGTCTTATAGGGGGTGGGGTCTATGCATGAGTTCTGGGGCAGGTTCAGGGGGCTCGCGGCCTAAAGACAATGCCAGAGCTTTCTGATGTTGCTTGGACCTTCCCAACCCCCAACACCAAAAAAAAAACAAAAGCCCTAAACCCCAAACACCCAAACACCCCAAACCCTAACCCTAAACCCGAAACCCTAAACCCTAAACCGATCGAAACCCCAGACCGGAGGTTCCTTTTTAAGTTTCAATCGGGCCATCAAGCCCCGCAGGTGCGGTTTAGGGTTTCGGCTTTAGGGTTTGGCGTTTAGGGTTTTAGGATTTAGGGTTAAGGGTTTTAGGACAAAGGGTTTAGGCTTTAGGGTTTGGCGTTAAGGGTTTTAGGATTTAGGGTTTAGGACAACTTCCCGAGACCATAAGAACATAGGCCTTTCAAGCGATACACAGGGGTTCTATAGTAGGGTTCCCTTAAAGGGTGGTTGTATAGGAGAGTTCCCTTAATGGGTATTATAGGATTCTATAGTATAAGATCATGTCACTATCATACAGATATCTATAAAGAATAGTAACTGGTGGTTAGTTTGGGTTAGGGCCTGTGGGGGTTTAGGGCTGTAGTTAGTTAGGCCCCGCTCATATGCCCGCAACCTCCGAAATCAAAGTCAACCCAGACCCCGAAACCAGAGACCAAAAATAAACAAACCTCGAACTGCAACTACACCGACCCCGGCCAAAGATCCTTGAACCTTGCACCCCATAGCCCCCAAGCCCCCCTTCAACCTAAAGCCCTGAACCTCAAACCTGGGTGCGCCTTTTTCCGCTGCTTGATCGGCTGCTGGCTCGGGCAACGGCAACGCAGCGGCCGAGCCTAGGGGTTTAGGGTATTGCAAGGAGTTTCAGGAGGGGTTGAATCTAAGGCTGCCTTCTGGGGTGTCATAAGGGATAAAGGCTTGGGTTTAGGGTTGAGTGGCTTCGGTCTTCAGGGTTTGAGTTCAGGGTCACACCGAGTCTCCGTAGAGGCTGCGTGCTTTACTTCTTCTTGACGTGTCGTCACTGGCTGTACAGTGGTTCGAAACACCTAGTGTAAGGGGCAAGGTGTCAAGTCTGCTTTTCCACTAACATAACCCTAATCATGAAATCCAAACTCCCGAAACAAAACAAACGGCACAGCACTTCAGGTTCTATGTAAGCGGGCTCTTATCCGTCTGTGGTTTTTAAATTGTAATATAAATTAGGTTTTTGTACTTCCAAGGAGCCCCCTATTTCTCTTCTGCAATAACCAGCCCTAAACGAGCTGAAATAGACAAAACATATAAAGCCAACAAGCTTAAGGTTCACCCATTGGGTGTCTATGCTATATCGCTGTATACACAGAGATGCATACACACACACACAGAGATTTAAAGGAGGACTATCCAGCAAGTTCAAGTTACCCCATACATGACGAGTGCATCTTAGACTTCTCTGATTTCTCTTGTTTCCGGCGGAGCCCCTGGGTCCTGGGATACCTCTTAACACCATGCAGGGCTTGTTTACGGCACCAGTAGTCTATAGGGCATAAGGGTATATTGTGCCCTCAAGCAATCATCCACGAGTCCAAGCTCTGTGAGCTATCCTAGTTCCAGCGTACTTCAAACCTCTTTTAGAGTTTAGGGGGTTACAACTCCGAAACCAATTGGTTCTAACCGTCCGGGGAAGCTTTGAGTTTACAGAGCCCCAAAGACTCATCCATTTGAGATATGAGTCGAAGCTTCATTAAAAGCACTCGCAAATGGGCATACTCGCTTGCCACGGTCCCGAAGGCATTATGTACACACCAAAGATCTTCACAAACCCTAAGCTGTAAATCCGAAACCCTGAACCCCAAATGACAACCACACCTAAGCAACAACGAACAAACACGTATGTAAGTTGGTATACATGGATACGCGTAACATCACGTAACACTATTTAGATAAAATAACCAGACCAGTAAACTTGACAGATGGGCCACAGACCCTGAACAGAAACACCTAACCCCAAAACCGTAATCCCTGACCCGAACCCGCTGACACCTAAACCCTTTTCTAAACCCAAAACCCTCAAACCCTAAAACCCCAAACTCCAAAAGCCTTAAGCCCTAAACTGCCCTCAACCCTAAACCCCTAAAGCCCTAAACTGCCTTGAACCCTAAACCTCTTCCTGCTCAGCCGAAGGGCGGGCTTCGCCCTGCCAGCGCCGTGCTGCCAGCCTCCAGGTTTGGGGCTACAGCTCCTTACGCCTTTCCTTAGGGTTTGGGGATTTAGGGTTTGGGGGTTTCGGATTTAGGGTTTGGGGGTTTAGGATTTAGGGTTTGGGGGTTTCGGATTTAGGGTTTGGGGGTTTCGGATTTAGGGTTTGGGGGTTTAGGATTTAGGGTTTGGGGGTTCAGGATTTAGGGTTTGGGGTTTAGGGTTTGGGGTTTAGGGTTTAGGGACCTTAACCTACCAAAACCGACTTGGTTGTAGGTTCTTATGAAACCCCTTGATATGGATTTTATGGGGCCCTACTGGTAGGCGAAGTATACGGGCTTCTTGGGATTTGAGTTTTGGGTTTGGGGCATTGCGGCTTGTAAGGTTTAGGATTTTGGGTTTGGGGTTTGCTGCTGCCTTAGTGATGGCCTTCTTGCGTGCGCCTGCTGCCCTGTCATGAAAGATCAGGGTAGGTTCTCATTCTCGAGGTGTGCCTAGGTCTCTTATGTATGGTTTGTCGTGGTTGACATGTTATTGGATCAGATCAGCATCTGGAGACCCTATAAACCCTAAACCCTAAACCCCTGAACCGTAGAGCCGTGCTGTTGTGCTGTTCTCCTGGCATGCTGGCTTGCTTCTCTTGGGGTCAGGTTCCTCAAGGGCTTCTTGCAGAACCCTGGTCTCCTGGACCGGAAATCTGCGAGGCTCGCGGCTATCGGCCCGACATCTAAGATTTAAGATACTTTAGGGTCATTGTTTATAAAGTGTAGTGGAATTTGGGGCTTATAAGGTTTAGGGATACTGTTTTTGTTGGCTCAATTTGTTTCGTCATTCGGAGCCAAAGCGCTTTCCAACAGGAAGGAGCGACCCATGCGACGATGGTTCCCGATGTTGGCCAAGTTGTTCTATGTCTGCAAGTACCCTAAGTGGGATCATAAGTGGGTAGTTTTCAAAAATAGGGTCACTTCGGGCGTCCTTTTTATACGGGTGCCGTACTATGTTGGGGACCTAAACAGGGACCCTAATTTAGAGAACTACCCAAGTAGTTGTTAGAAACCGTCTCCTTACTTGTAACTGTACTTACCGTCCCCTGATCCTTTCAGTCAGGCGGTGGACGTGGACATCAATACGAAGCAAAGCCGCGCTTCGCAGCTAATGGCAAGTCCGAACCCTCCAGCCTCATGCCTTGCCTGGGTTTAGGGATTTAATTAGGAGTTTAGAGTTTAGGGTTTAGGGTGCCTTCGACCGAAACACTGAACAACGCGGTAAAATCAGCGCTGAACTCATGACACTGAAATACTAAATCCCCAATAATAACATCTAACACCTTCCTAGAAAGCTAAAGACAGTCCATGATGGCTCTAATGACATCTAACACCACCAGACCCCTAAAACCCCAAAGACTACACAATCCATGGTAGCCCTAAGCCCTAAACCCTAAAACCCTAAGCCACAGAATCCTAAACCCCAAACCAGGAAACCAGAATCTGGGTTCGGCGCGAGAACCTCCTGATCTTCCTTCCCGGCTTCCTTCCTGCAGTTAAGGGTTTACGTGGACCCTAAATGACCTACCTCTTTGAGGACTTATATTAGGAACTCATAGTAAGGAACCCGCAAAAAGTGGGTTCTTTAGTGTCCGGGTAGGGTTTTCGACAATGCCCAACCCCCTGCGGTTCAGGGTTAAGGGTTTAGGGTTCCTATAAACCCTGAGCCCTGAACTGAGAGACATTGGGTTTAGGGTTTAGGGTTCCTATAAACCCTGAGCCCTGAACTGAGAGACATAGTAGCAACAACTATAGTAATAGCACTAGTAGCAATAACAACAAAACATAAAGAGTCATACTAGTAATACTGCAAAATATGTACAATACTAGTAGAATATTTGAGCCAAACAATAGTAAAACTAGAGTGTACTTCTAGTAATTCATATGTACAAGTTAGACTACAACGCAATCATTAGCAGGCCGAGCGGCATGATCAAACGGTACTGCATGCACTCGACTTCTTGCAGCTTCTGGTGCAAGATGCCTCTGCCAGTGCTCGGAACAGGATGTCCGGCTGCCCGTTTGCTTTGAAGGGTTTATAGGGTTTAGGGGTTAGGGGTGGGGGTTAGGCGGCTACAGTTTAGTGTTTAGTCCGACTTAGGTTTAGAATATAATGGGTTGAATAAGCTTTCGAACAAATGCATTTGCAAGTGTTATTGGGGTTTGTCGGGGGGTTAAGGGTCGAAATATGTGCACCGATATGTAAAGGCTCTCAAAACAACGTATCTGAGGTAGGCTCATTGACTAGAGGTATGGGGCATACTTTTCGAAAAGCAGACTCCAATAGCCCTTATTCAGGCATCAAGACCAATATTAATTGCTCTGTTCAAGAACCATTCCAGCCAAAAAACGCTTCTGCAGTATCTTGGTGCCTTGAACCCCGAAACTCTGAACCCTGAACCTCAACAACCTCATCCCAGGGTGCCAGCCGCATATTCAGAAAGCCCTACAATAAACTCTAGACTCTACACCTCCAACTAGGGTTTAGGGTTATGGGAGCAAATTCAGCGTGGCCCAGCGGCTTTGCATCTTGATTTTTTTTGGCGGCAGGTTCCAGCATCACCGGAAACCAAACGCCAAACACGACGGCAAAGGACCCCTGCAAAACCCCTACTCCCTCATAACAGTTGCCAGGATTGAAACTTTGCTTAGCTTAGTAAGGTCATTTCAGGCTTCAGAACAGGAGGAACTAGCAAGAAGAACTCCAAAACACGCGGGGGTGAAGGGTCTCCGGGTCAAAGACTGCAAAATGCTAGAGCTTGTTCTCCGAGGCGCACTGCACTAAACTTGATATGCGTGTTCAATACAAGTCAACCAGCACCCTCCTAAGGTCCTACCCTAAACCCTAAAACCCTAAACCCTCAAGTAGGGCTACAATTAAGGCACTATTGAATTGCCCAGTCAAGGGCCTCAGCAGGAGGCCTTTTTCCTGCGTCCAACACCTAGAGTCCAGTAGCTGCCTTTACCCTAACCCCCCGGGTACCTACTATATAGGGTACTGGAGCCCCGATAGGGCCCTATATATTAGGTACCTGGNNGGTTAGGACTCAACTGCAGTATTTTGTTAAGGGCGCTCTTTCCTGGCAGGCTCTCAGAGCTTAGGGTAAAGCTCAGGAGTGAAGTTCACATTGACTTCAAGGGCTCCCCGATACGATGGCGTAAGGCGTATGGCCCGTATGTCAGTGCGCAGACCCGCCTACGGATTGCATCTCCTCCACATCGCCTTGAACGGACTCCTGCGACAAAAAGTGGCTGGAGAGAAGCCCAGGGCGCCGAATGGGGGGGGGGGGGGGGGGGGAGGAGGAGAGGAGGGGGGGTCCGGGTCCGGGATTCAGGCTCTAAGTGCAGAATATCATCGCCTGATGCAGCGGAAAAAGCAATGTCTTCGTTTAGCATACGACCAGTGTCGCACAGGGAGCCTATTGCAGAAGCCTAGAAACAGGATCGTCGTTACAAGGGCCCTCAGACCAGGTACCTCCCCCCCCTCCCCTCACCATGTTCTGAAACCTCCATATGGGTATCTCAACAAAACGCAACTTCTGAGGGGCCTTGCAACCCTGGACCCTCTATCAACGCTGCGTTCAACCCTAAGTACCCACTACCCTAAACCCCCAAACCTATGCTTTAGACCCTGGACGTTAGATCCTTAACCCAAAACCCCAGACCCAAAACCGCCAGAACCCTAAAACCCTATTTGAGGGCACAAGGAAGTTCCATTAAAATGAAACCAGAGAAAGCCGCGACCCGACCACCGAAACGCCAACAGTCATGCAGAAGCTTAAACGCAGGCCTAAATCCGAACCCCTACATCCTACATCCTAAGTTCTAAACCCTGAACATCCCTAAAACCTAAATCCAACACCCTATCTTAACCTTACATCCTTTTAAGTTCTAAACCCTAAACCGTGCATCCTTCATACTTAGGGAGGAGGACGCTGTGGGCACGTAGTGTTAAACGGCCTAAACCCGAAACCGTGTAGTAGGAGCAGAAAGTCGGTGTTTGAGTTGGGAGGCACGAACTGGATGTTTGAAGCTCTCATGTTCACTTGAAGCATCAGCCGCTACGCAAGGATGACACGCAGAGCGCTGTCACCAAAGTACTTGTAACCATAAAGCCCAGACTCGCAGCAAGTGCACAGAGTGCGAGTGGGGTTTGGGTTTGCGGGTTGGGTATCCCCTTCCTGGTACCCTATAGTCCCCCCCTGTCCTGGTTCCCGAGTCCAGGGTGTGAAGGGTTCGTTCGTTCAGGGGTTCGGGGTTAAGAAGGTGGTTGATGTTTGAGGTCCGAGGTAAAGAAGATGGCGGGGAATATTAGGGTTTAAGATGGCGGGGGATATGAGTGATATGTCGAGGGTTCTGCTGAATGATGTTCCTCTGCAGATGCTTCCGCAATCTCCCACTCCCCCTCACATCAGTATTATCACCAAATGCAGCCCAAACCAACATCAGTTGGAACATGATTATCCTCATGCCCTTAAGATAAAGCAGGCATGAGCCTAAACCCTAAATCCTAAGTCTAAACCCTCAATCCTAAATCCTAAGTTCGAAACCCTAAACCTCTGAACCTTGAATCCTAAACCCCAATGCAGGCCAGGCACCAAGCAGGACTTGAGCAATGCCCGGTAGTGGTGAAGAGCTTCGGCTTGCAATGGGAGCGTGTCCTAGGGTGGAGGGTTTGAGGGATTTCGCGGTAGGTAGGACCCTAAACCCCCTAAGCTCCTCAAGGCTTCCTTTAAGGGCTCGCATCACAGTTACCCTAAACCCTTTCCCCTGAACCCTAAACCCTAAAGGTTACCCCAAGTTGTTTGAGTCTTTGGGCCAGGGCTGCAGCTCGAGCTGTGAGATGACTGGGTCGGAGTTGCTGCTCAAAGCCTTCCGCTTCGAACAACGAGTTTGGGACTTAGGACTTAGGAGAATGTAGGGGCCTGAATAATTAGATTCGGGTTGTGGGCTCCTCTAAGGTATTATGATAATAAGGATTCCTAAGAAAGATATTGGGAATTATTTAGGCTTCTACATAAATGAGGGTTTAGGATTGCGGGGTTTAGGGTCTCGGGTAAGGCTGCTTCTGTTCACGATTTGGTGGGTGTGGACTTGTGTTGATGTGGACCTATAGTCTCCATTGCAGTTCCTTTTTGGAGTTACCTTATAGGATCCCAAGTATATAATTGTTTAAACCCCAAAAAGGAACTACAATGGAGACTTTAGGTAGAAGCCTTCGAGCGTGGCGTTTTCAATTTCTCGTGGAGTTCGGGTTGAGGGGACACGATTCAGAAAGCGCACACAACCCCCAAATCCCATGACTAACCGCTTGATCGTGCGTGCACTGTTCGGGGGCGTCGTTGCGTCTGCAGCTCTCTTGGGGATGTTGTGCAGACATGTCCTAAACTAAACAGAAGCCACATGTAGAAATACATTAGCCTGTACTGTGCTTGCTCGGCTTGGTTGACCAGCTGTATGGTTAGGATCCTACAGAGAAGTCACGGCAACCGAAGTAATCTTTTCACATCCCATTACGATGGAGGCGAGAATGCCCCTAGACCCTAAATGCCTAACCCTGTACCCCTACCCCCAAACCGCTAAGCCCTCCACCTTCTTTGGAAATGGGCTTCCTGCGGCCTCAAGAGGATCCTGACACCCCCCGACCCCGGACAGTCAAGACATCCTCAGGGCCCGGATGACTAAATCGTCGGTAACTGGGTCGGTACTAGACTAGCTGCCACTGCACCCTTAAATTTTGCTTCAAGGCATCGGATTGTAGCTATGTAGGGTACCAATTAGAGGCAGCTGGAATCAAGGAACCAGATAAGTGGGCTTCCAGGGAACCTAAGCGCACAGGGAGGACTAGACTCAGGCATTAAGTCAACAACCCGAAAGCTGCGGTTGAGGGCTTAGGCACGTTTGGGCTTAGGGTTTATGTATGTTGATGCAGGAGTCTTTTCCGCATGGGGATTGTAGTCGTGACCTTACCGTATGAGTACCTTGCAGTCCCCATGCATCGACAAAGGTAGTCTGCACCAAAACCTCATGTGTTAGGAGCCCCTATGCTAGAAACCCATATGAAGGCCTGTTGAAAACCTTGCAGATTTACAAATCCAATATAAAAACGTTGTCAAAGCCGTACAATATTGCAGAACCCACATGGGCCCGGATGACGCCCTTAAATTGCCCCTTTGTTCTCTAATGTACGGGCTTTAATAATTAGAATAGGGTTTGGGGCCCATTGTACTATTATTAGAATAAGGGGCCCCCAAAATAGGTTTGGTAATTATTTAGGCCCCTACGTTATGTTCTATACACCAAGCTTCCAGGCAAAGGCGGCATCCACTTCGCATGCCCAGAGCGGACATCTGAAGGCACCTCAGAGAAGTTTCACTGAGAGCATCACATGGTTTAGAGTTTAGAGATTAGGGTTTAGAGGTTAGGGTTTAGGGATTAGGTACATACCCTAACCCTCCAGGTACCTACTACATAGGGCCCCAGGGGCTCCAGTACCCTCCGTAGTAGGTACCTGGAGGGTTAGGGTCAAGGTTTAGGGTTTGGTAGGCTAGGATGAAATCCAGCAACCTCATCCTGACCCTCAGCTCCGGCAATAAGGAATATAGGGGCCTTAATAATGAGAAACAAGGGTTTTAGGAGATGCTATACAGAAGTTATAAGGAGGAACCCCCAACAAAGTATTGGTAGTTATTTAGGCCCCTAAAGTACCCGAATAGGGTTTCTTTCCTACTTAATACTCTTATGATGTCCTACTTACCAAGTCGCCTGATCCTCTAAGTATGAGCCAGGATTTTATCGGGGCTTCTGCTTGGGGGTGACGGTGCAGGGGTCATGGGGGTGGGTGGTGGGTCTTGTTTTTTTTGTTTGGGGGGGGGGGGGGCTCTTGACCCCAAGGGGCCCTCTTTGTTTTGAGCCGAAGGGTGCCCTCTGTGATTTGGGCGGTCGTGGAGAGCGGCTTCCGGCCTTGAGTGTTGCTGGCGATTTGGGGCACAGAGCGATAGGTATGCCGGGTTCACGACTTCATTCAGTAGAACACATGGCCGTTACTGAGTCCTCACACCAAGCATATTATTCAAGGATTGCATAGTGATAAGGGTGTCGCGGGCTTACTTCAAGACCTACCGGTAGCCTCGAGTTGGGGAAGCTGCATCAGCCTCCTGACAAAATGTTCGAGTACCAGCCATGCAAGCCCGGTCAAGGTATCGGGCACCCAGCACCCTAAACCCTAAACCCTAAACCCTAAACCCTAAACCCTAAACCCTTAACTCGCCATCCCTGGTAAACAGCCGCGAAACCCGAACATCAGCCTCCCTTTCAACCCAAACCCCGAACTCGAAACCCTCGCAAATGGGGTGATTTAGGGATTTTAGGGCTTAGAGGTCGGCGCCAAGGCACAGATCCATGGTGTCTTCTTGCGGTGTCAACGGCGGCACCGTTGAAAATTTACCCCCAAGTAAGCAGCAAGGCAAGCTTACTTAACAGTTCAGCACTCATGCTGCAATGCACATAGAACCAGTGTCTCCTAGGAATGCACTTGCGCTGGCCGTGAGCGGTAACATGTGACCAAACACTGCAACCTGCGGCCTGCACTCCTGTCAATGAAGTGACAGCTGCAGGCCTGAATATCTTTACTATGCTTGACAAGCGCCTACTCGGTCGGGCGCACTGCGTCGAGCCGGTGTCGAGATTCGGGGTTCGTTCGGAGCTTAGGCTTTCAGATTCAAGCAGCTCTGGCTAAGGTGAGGATGGTGTGTTGTGGGAACCTTCAGCCTCATCCTCCGCTCCAACCCTGCTTCAACATAAAAGGAAAGCCGACGTCTGTAGTCTAGAGTATGTTCCATATAGTTGCTCTTTCGGGAATAACGCCTCTATATCTCTATGTCGATGTGTCTATATGTCCATATGGGTGCTTGTCAAAATTATGGTCCCCTTTTGGGTCCTTATCATAATACGGCACCTATTATTTAGGGTACCCCAAAAGGGACGATAATTTTGACAACTACTCAAATGTCTCTACGTCTCTACGTCTACCCTGACCTCGGTGTCTACGTCTATGGAAACCCCTGGGAACGGGACTAGGACTTCAGCCTCACGGAGCTTAGGAGGGCCAAGTTTAGGGTTTAGGGTTTAGAACCCAAAACCCACTTTTTTGTAGGTTCTTATTATAAACCCTAGTATGGGATTTATAGGGACAAAAACGTAGGTTTTGGGTTCTTAAGGTAGGGTTTAGATTTTAGCGTTTAGGGTTTAGGCAAAGGTTCCGACAGGTTCGGGTATGATGTCTAGCGTTTAGGGCTTCGTCGCTCTTCGCGTTTCAGTGTATCGCAGTGCAGAACTCAAAGGCAAATCCTAATCCTAAATCCTGGAGTAGGCACTAAGCACTTCGGCCCAAAAGTACCAAACAAAATGCTCTATGGAGCCAATGTATGCCCTGCTTGAGTACTGAAAACAATGGCTTCTCGTAACAGATCCCTGAAACCTAACTGATCTCTAGGGTTTCGGGCTAAAGGGGTAGCTACTAGGGCCTGCTCGTTCCACTCTAGTCAAGATCGCAAGAAACAATGACCTACTGTCAGACTTGGTGCGCACACGGTGCCTATGTAGAACATCAACAGAAAGCCACATCATACATCAACAAGCTTCAACACCTGCAAGTCCTAAACGACTAGCACGACGAGCTCCAGCCAAAAATCCGTAAAGGAACCATGGAGCCTGTCGAGCCCGACCCCAGCCAGATGAAGAAAGGCCTCGTATGCCCACCAAAGGGGGCCCGGCATAGCATCGCGAGGACCTTCGTGTGCTTTTCGCTAAGGGCTTGAGGTTTAGGGCTTAGGGCCTAAGCCCTAAACCAGTTTAGGGTGTAGGAAACTCGAAGCGGCTTTTGCTACCACGAGCAGACTGCACAACCCAAACCCATAGCACCCGGAATCCCAGCCTCCCAGAGACGAAGGTGCACAATGAGAAGCCAGTTCGGCAAAAAATGAAATAAATCAAGGATCACTTCGATTACGTCAACACTTTTGTGACTCAAAGGTGGCCCCACTTCAATTCGGAATCGACCGGCGTGTCACCACTTTGTTGAACAGAGTCGACTGAGGTATCGAGGAAGCGTTGCTGGGATCTCGCTCGATTGTCGTTCATCCGGAGATTGGATTTGTCACACCTGAAACAGGAAATAACCTGCCCTTCCCGTTTCAGTGCTCTCTCTTCGTATGATCGCAGGCATTGAGGTAGGTCACTCCGTTCGAGCAATCAGCATAGAAAGCCCTTTTATTCAGATGCCTCATCGGTGTGAAACCAGGAGGTTCAAGCACCGAATCCTGTGCATGAGAGCACTTTCGGCACTCGCAGCCACGGTGTGGGGCCGTGAACGCCCGTCGGAGTAACTCTCAACGTGCTCTCATGGCTCGTGGAAAGGTTGGAGTCTCGGTTTCTTGTGGCATTTCTACAGCCTAATCCCCAAACCCTAACTAAAGCCTATATCCAGCAACCCCTCAACCCTGAAAACACAGGTGAAAGGGAACTGTGTCTGAGGCGGGTACGGATCTTGACCAGGATACGCATTGCTCGGTGCCTGCACGCCGGTCTGAATTTCTATTAAAGCCCTGAGGGCTCATATTGCATGGGCATACCAATCAAAATGTGTACGAAGCTGCAATCGTTCCACCAGTATCTGTTGTTGAACCGTCCTCTACACGGAATGCTATCTTAGACTCTAGATCCTACATCCCAACAATCATAAACACTACCAGTAAATCCATGAAGCCCACCACAAATCCTCCATTACATCCTAAATCTTATACCCTTTATTCTCAATGAACCACAAACCCTCAGATGATCTTTAAACCCTGAGTCTTAAGTCCTGTAGACCCCAGTGCCTAAAACCCGCGACACCCTAAACCCTCCCACGCCTTGAAATCCTAAACTCCTATAACCCCTTTGGAATGCAACCTTCTTATCCTAAGCCCACGCACCTAATCAGTGCCGACTGGGGAATCCAGAGGTGTATATAGGCCTTTCGGGGTATGGCATCCGCCCGAATGCAAAGGCAACCGTGCCAAACTGCTATTCCTCCAAACCTGCTCCCATAACATGCAGGCATGCAGCAGACATTGCCGAACATTTCTGGATGCCTACAGGTCTGGAGCCTAAAATGTCCTCAACCCTCAACCCTAGCATGAAGTCTATAAGACTTCTCGCCCCGAAACTGTACCTGAAGTTCAAGTCCTGAATGCCTTGTCCGAACCCAGAACACAGATCCAAGCCTGATCTTCGCAGCGGCCACAATTAAGGATCGCCTTGAGAAGGGTTCTTATAAGTGTTCTGAAAGCAACTATACCTTTGGTTTACAGGGATGATGAGGGTCCTTATGATGTGTTGTTGAAACGAAGAAGTCCATACACCGTTAAATTCACTGCTTTGTAAACGAATTGCGTAAGAGTTACTATACCTGTCGTTAGAGGATAGCGTGCAGAGATCTGAATCTGGGGGGGGGGGTTAGATTTAGGTTTGGGATTGCGAATTTACGATCTTGGCGAGATCGTTGGGTTTCTGGGATTCCCTTCTATGACTCACATGATTTTACTGAGGGTCTGGCTAAACTAAGGCTTCGGGGACCTCAGTGACAAGTCCACATCGGAAGTATGATTGCTACTTATAATCTCCAGTGTAATTCCTTGTGTTTGCTTTCCTTGCCAGCTCTGGCTGCACTTTGGATTCGAAACACAAAAATGTCTAGCTACAATGGAGACTAGGGGCACCTTAAGCTCTAAACCCTAAGCCCTAAAACACTGAAGCCCTGAAATCCTTAGATTAAGTAAACCCTAAACCCTAAAACCCAAAAGCGCTAAACACTACACGGGACCTTAGGAACGTCAGCCCTGGCAAGCATCCAAGGCTCGGGCCGTCAACGGCGGCCCACAGCGAGCGACCACGGCCTGGGTTGTTCGGTGTTAGGGGTTAGGTTTAGGTTTAGGGTTTAGGTTTTGGGGTTTTCCAACTTTAAATTCGGTTTATATGCTTTTTCCATGAAATGTGCCAAGACACCGTAGCAAAATGTTTTCTATGAGTCGAATCGAAGGCTTCTTCCTACAGGAGGGTTCGGGGCTTCTGCCTCAATGCCTTGAGGTTCTGGACAGGATTGTTTTCGACCAGAAACCCTAAAGGATTGCTATCGACAAGAAACCCTTCACCCTAAACCCTATGGAAAGACAGACACGTCTGCCCAGATTCTCATCTGGTCTGAAGGACGTGGGGCCTCAACTCTGGGCCCTGGGCCAAGCTGAGATTCAGAGCAAGGTCGTGGAAGATCTTAGACCCCCCCAACTACCCTCTATCATCCCCCAAATAC